ACACACTCACTAGTTGTGTAATACTCTTCTGTTGTATTTACTGTTTAATATATGATATATCTATAACTCTGATTTTGATATTTCTTAAACCATTTACTTAGTCACAACAATAAGAAAGATTTTCATTCATTGCTTTGTCATTATTATTTATTCTGGTTTAACTAATTTTGTTTTTACCTTGTGTCTATACACTGCATGACGGCATGACTATTGATATTGTGTTTGTGTTAGAAATTGTAAAATGTTTGTTTTTTATGCTTATAAGTGGATTTTCTTGATGCATTTGTTCTAGTCGTTGCAAAATTTTATTTCTTTTATATCCAGTTTAGAATAATATTGATTTGCAATTAAATCATGCTTGTTCATTCTTAACAAATGATTTTCAAGATAAGTGTATTTTGAATTATTTTAACAGTGGTTCTACTTCATAAGTACTCTTTCAATGGAAAATGATCAAGTGATTATATAGATTAATTTTTTTATAGCTAAACTTTTATGGGATGAATCTTTTTGATCTTAAAATTTGTTTGCTGTAATCTTTGGGGTAAGCTGATGGTAGATAGTCCTGAGTATGACGACAAACTACATCTGCCAGCATGACCTCTGACTAGAAGATCTGAGGGTTTGAGGAGCAAGGAGCTATTTCTTAATTGCTGTTATTCCCAGGTCCACCCTGACACAGGGTGGTAGCACCTGTTAGGGTCCCAGCTACAGGTAAATAGTGAACCCCCAATCAAAAATAAAACAATATGAAAGTATAAAAATACATTTTATATTAAAAATACCAGAATTACATTTTTATATAAAAACTTACCAGCAACACATGCTTAAGGCTCTGTGTCATTACTGATGATTATGCTGTCATTCCATCTCCATCTGTCCTCTGTGAGCTTCCAAGTGGGATAGAAGTCTGATCCATGAGCAACAAGTTCTCGTGACAGGGAAACATGCCCGGTGTGGGATTGGCAAGTTGCAGATGATGCTGGCATCACCTCCCCTTGAGTGCTCCTTGTCTCTCTTCCTCAAAGTGTGCCACTCCGGCAATGCAGAGAGACTGCCAGCTGATCCAATCCCTTATGAGGTTCTCTAATTGTGTCGGGTTAACATTTCAATAGATAATAGCACACTTAAGATACGATTCTGAGACTATCTTAAGCATGCTATTATCTCTTACAACATTGACCTGACACAATTAAAAGCCAACAATATATATTAATAGTAAAACTACCAACAATATATATTATAACAAAATGACCAACAATACATTTTATCTGTGGCTGAAGGCTTAAAATTCCATTCAAAATATATTCAGTTGTAGCCATAAAATTGTTTTCAAATTATTTAGATTTCGGCATGAAGTAAACCATAGAGGTGTTGATATGCCGCTAAAAATCAACCAACCAGGTGACATTAAGGTACAGAGCAGTGGATCCTAAGCTGAGGGGCCTTTACAAACCATTTATAATGGATGCTGTAAACATTGTACAGAATAGAAATTTGTCTGTCAAAATAATTCAGCTTCTGATGTGATTCTAAGAAAGAATGATGAAAGAAAATAAGCATTATCCTGAAAATAAAATGTTCACACTATTCTATTGGCAGCTCAAGAAGAAGCATTAAAATCACTTGGAGTCACTAGTTACCAGCTTACTTTAGAGAATTCCATTTTTGATTAAAAAAAACAAAACAATACCTTGATTTACATGGAATTTGACATTAAATTTCCTTTGCATGATTGGTTGAAATCTGGTGCCATTTTTTGTTAATTGCCTTTTGTAGAATAGGAATGTCTTAAATGATCATCAAAATGTTTCTGAAAAAAGCAATTTTAGCAAGTAGAACCACTGTTGAATATAGACTGCACTGTTTGATGAGATCCAGTTTGTTATGAATGTCAAAATATCCATCAATATGATTTCAGAAAGAATAATATTAAAAATATTTTAATTGCTTTTATTAATGTTTTATACTATTAATCATGATCATTTGTTAATTAGTCCATTTTAGTTAGTAGTCAATTTGTCATATTTTGTTCATTAAAAATAATTATTTCTGGTATGAGGGTGCATCAAATGTATTTTTGCTTTTTTAATCAACAGAGAAACTTTTGAGAGCGCATGTTTTTTGAAGCTTATGTAATGCCCTACATATGGCATCTTTTGATGATCCTAGCTCTTCTAAAGGTTTACAGACATTGACTCCAAAGCTAATTTCATGAAGCTTATATAATGCCATACATACGATAACTTTTGATGATCTTAGCTCTGTTAAAAGTTTACAGACCTTGATTCCAAATCTAATTTCATGAAGCTCATGTAATGCTCTACATATGGCACCTTTGATAATCCTAGCTCTTCTGAAGGTTTACAGACCTTGATACCAAATCTAATTTCATGAAGCTTATATGATGTTCTACATATGGTATCTTTTGATAATCCTAGCACTTCTGAAGGTTTACAGACCTTGATTCCAAATCTAATTTCATGAAGCTCTTGTAATGCTCTACATATGGTATCTTTTGATAATCCTAGCTCTTCTGAAGGTTTACAGACCTTGATTCCAAATCTAATTTCATGAAGTTCATGTAATGCTCTACATATGGTATCTTTTGATGAACCTAGCTCTTCTGAAGGTTTACAGACCTTGATTCCAAATCTAATTTCATGAAGCTTATATGATGTTCCACATATGGTATCTTTTGATGATCCTAGCTCTTCTGAAGGTTTACAGACCTTGATTCCAAATCTAATTTCATGAAGCTTATGTAATGCTCTACATATGGCACCTTTGATAATCCTAGCTCTTCTGAAGGTTTACAGACCTTGATTCCAAATCTAATTTCATGAAGCTCATGTAATGCTCTACATATGGTATCTTTTGATGATCCTAGCTCTTCTGAAGGTTTACAGACCTTGATTCCAAATCTAATTTCATGAAGCTTATGTAATGCTCTACATATAATATCTTTTGATAATCCTAGCACTTCTGAAGGTTTACAGACCTTGATTCCAAATCTAATTTCATGAAGCTCATGTAATGCTCTACATATGGTATCTTTTGATAATCCTAGCTCTTCTGAAGGTTTACAGATCTTGATTCCAAATCTAATTTCATGAAGCTTATGTAATGCTCTACATATGGTATCTTTTGATGATCCTAGCTCTTCTGAAGGTTTACAGACCTTGATTCCAAATCTAATTTCATGAAGCTTATGTAATGCTCTACATATGGTATCTTTTGATTATCCTAGCACTTCTGAAGGTTTACAGACCTTGATTCCAAATTTAATTTCATGAAGCTTATGTAATGCTCTACATGTGGTATCTTTTGATGATCCTAGCTCTTCTGAAGGTTTACAGACCTTGATTCCAAATCTAATTTCATGAAGCTTATGTAATGCTCTACATATGGTATCTTTTGATAATCCTAGCTCTTCTGAAGGTTTACAGACCTTGATTCCAAATCTAATTTCATGAAGTTCATGTAATGCTCTACATATGGTATCTTTTGTTGATCCTAGCACTTCTGAAGGCTTACAGACCTTGATTCCAAATCTAATTTCATGATGCTTATGTAATGCTCTACATATGGTATCTTTTGATGATCCTAGCTCTTCTGAAGGTTTACAGACCTTGATTCCAAATCTAATTTCATGAAGCTCATGTAATGCTCTACATATGGTATCTTTTGATGATCCTAGCACTTCTGAAGGTTTACAGACCTTGATTCCAAATCTAATTTCATGAAGCTCATGTAATGCTCTACATATGGTATCTTTTGATAATCCTAGCTCTTCTGAATGTTTACAGACCTTGATTCCAAATCTAATTTCATGAAGCTTATGTAATGCTCTACATATGGTATCTTTTGATGATCCTAGCTCTTCTGAAGGTTTACAGACCTTGATTCCAAATCTAATTTCATAAGCTTATGTAATGCTCTACATATGGTATCTTTTGATTATCCTAGCACTTCTGAAGGTTTACAGACCTTGATTTAAATTTAATTTCATGAAGCTTATGTAATGCTCTACATGTGGTATCTTTTGATTATCCTAAGCTCTTCTGAAGGTTTACAGACCTTGATTCCAAATCTAATTTCATGAAGCTTATGTAATGCTCTACATATGGTATCTTTTGATAATCCTAGCTCTTCTGAAGGTTTACAGACCTTGATTCCAAATCTAATTTCATGAAGTTCATGTAATGCTCTACATGTGGTATCTTTTGATGATCCTAGCACTTCTGAAGGTTTACAGACCTTGATTCCAAATCTAATTTCATGAAGCTTATGTAATGCTCTACATATGGTATCTTTTGATGATCCTAGCACTTCTGAAGGTTTACAGACCTTGATTCCAAATCTAATTTCATGAAGCTTATGTAATGCTCTACATATGGCATCTTTTGATCATCCTGGTTTGTCTGCTCTAACATCATAATCAACTAATTAATTAATTAGTTAATTAATTAAATGCATCATAATCAAGAAGAGTTAGTCATACATTTATGGACTTTATTGCAAGGGATAAGTCCGCACATTTGAAATACTTAAACACTGAGCTATTTTCTTCTAACTTCTGAATTATAAAGTTGCTAACAAGTCGAAATAATTGTTGATCCAAATGTAGTTACTTGTAGTCTGGTAGTCTGTATAACTCATATGGTTCTATAATCTTGAAGTGTATACATGAAATAATCTTTGGAGTAAAGCTATATAAAAACAAAAATGCTTTTGATACACCCTAATATATGAGACATATTCTTGTTTAAATTCTTTACTTTTTCCATCAATTAAGTAATTAACTAATTAAAGTTCTGGTTTGATAAATAATGATTAGTAAAAAATAACAAATCAAAACAAAACAAATTAATGAAGACATTAAGAGCAAAAGGCTAACTTCCTATGCTACTCTATAAGGTCCATTTGAATACAAAGTATATTTTTATCTACCGCAACTATTTTTCCAGTTGTACAGAAAATATACTTGTCTATTGAAGGCGCCTGGTTGCAGTCTTCAAGTTCAAACATGAATTTCAGAGAGCTTTCCTGTTGTTCACTGGCATCTGATCAACATCAGCCTTTACTCACTCACTCCCTCCACCCATATTCTGGTGTGCAGGAATCATCGACGCAAAGTAAGAGTACTGAACAATATTAATTAATCTCATTCAACTTTCTAGATCTTTCTACGTCTGGGTACTTGTCTCTCTAAAAGCTTCTCTCTCTGTAAATATTTTGCATTTGACTAACACTAATGCATGCACTTCTGGTGCTATTTGAACGCCAGATAGATATAAAAGAAGTAAATGTTTGTTTTCGTTAATTTAAGCACTAGCACCACATCATTAGACATTGGGTGATCTTTACTGTCAGTTTGTATCTTATTGTTCAGATCTGCACCTTTCTTTTTTCGTTGCCACTAATTTACTAACGATATTTTTCTTTTACACAGGCCCTATCTCTATTCCAGGTGTTTCACCGGTCTCGTTCTCTCGGCCGAATAATGCAGCAGCTGCTGTGCCCAACAGTCAACAGACTAGCGAGATGTCAATACCAAATGACTTGATTGGATGTATTATAGGACGGGCCGGTCAGAAGATCAATGAAATTAGGTATGCTATCTCGTTACTAGTTGGATACACTTCATCTACCAGCAAACGAACTTTTAATACTCATTCATTTAATGTGTGCAAAAGTTTACAGCTCTGTTTTTTTTTTAACCTTTATCATGTTTCACTATTCACCATTCCTCTTCTTTTATTTTTTAATCTCTTAACTCCATCCATCAGCAATTTCATTTTAATTTAAATTAATAACTTTTCACTGTTGCCATATAACTATTAAAACAAAATAATTACACTATTTACATTATTCAGACTATTATCCTCACCTTTGTTGCCATATTTATCACATTTTGGCCGTTGTACGCTCCGACCTTCTTCAGGTGGTTGAAATGTTGAACTGAACCCTTTATTTAGCTCACTGGGGTAGCTCCATGCGTCATGTCTAATGGATGTCAGCTATCAGTTATCGTCTGCTAATTCCCCTCTCCATGTTCTCTGTCGCCTTAACTAGGTATTGAACTCACACTCTTTGGGTCCTGTCACTGGATCTAACACCTATACCCACTGTGCCATTTGTTCTTGAGGACATCTGTGTATGAATTTCTGGCTATTATAAAGCTGTCTTCAACAACCGTTTTTTTCCAGTGCTCATATTGCAATTTTTGCTGTTATCTTATATGCTTTTACCAGAGCTCATATTGCAATTTTTGCTGTTATCTTATATGTTTTTACCAGAGCTCATATTGCAATTTTTGTTGTTATTATTGCTTTTTCTCTGGCACTCCTTATTAGTGGTTCCCATATTGTATTCATTTCTATGCTTGGTCGGCTCAGGAGATTTTTGTGGCCTAGCATATGTGCTGATTCCTTAAGTTAATGAATTTTCCAATGATGTTCTTTGTCTATGATCTCAACCTAATCATTACTTCTAGAGTTAATCAGAAAAAAGGGGGTGTGAACTTTTGCACATGTCATATTCTGTATCTCATAATTAACCCCTTAAAATGCAGTCCATTTGAAAAATCACATTCAAAATATTGATGTTAAAAGAATTTTATGGAATCTGAATTTCCTGTTAAAATGAACTTTTCTTAAAAATTAATGGCTGTCAGATAATTCAGTCAGAAGATTTGGTTGTTGCCCAATTTTGAATACTATATAATAATAATAATAATAATAATAATATATACATATATATATATATATATATATATATATAAAGAAATATAGTCTTAAGGTTTGCTATATTTATGGAATAAAGTGCTCAATATCAGAGATAGAGCGTGTGTAAATATAAAAGTGAACATAGAAGTCAACACTTAGAGGCGACAGTCTGTTTCATTCTATATGCAATCGTCAGGCCACCTGTATGTATATATATATATATGTATATATATATATATATATATAATTCACCTCTTGGAACAAAATGAAATAGAACAAATATTATTTAAAAATTTAAATGTCCATTAAGGAATTGTATTTGTGATCATTCAAAATTTGTAAGCAATTATATAGGCCACACTACAACATATTTGACAGGAAGACTCACACTACATCTCTTTGACCATAGCTCAATTATATCTCATTTAAATGCTCATGGAGACCTACTGGACACTATTTGTAACATACTTGTTGATAATACAAATATAATAGCATCGTCTACATGTAAAAAAAAGACTAAAATAATGGAACCCTTATTAATAAAACAAAAACACCAACACTCAGTAATATCAACTATGAACATGGACACAATATCTTGACCATGTTTTGAAAATGTAACATTATATAAATACATACATACAACAATCTATTTCTAGTTAACAGTTAATACATGTCAACATTGAAAATAGGTTAAATGTGTAGCCAAAAGCACACAGAAAAAAACACTGTTAGACAGTTTTTATATAATTTATCTACTGAAAAGAAAAAAATCATAAGATCACTTGGAAAATTATATAAAAAACTTAATCAAAGCACCTTGTCTGTCATATATATATATAATATATATATCAAATGTAAAAGAAACATTTAAAATTAAGGTATCAATTGTATATGTAATAAAATTGTTAGATTTTTTTTTCTTGGCTGACTGCTGCCCAGGGCAAAAGAGTACAGTTTATCACTATTTAACCTATAGCCAAAGGAAGCCTCTTCATAAACATTAGTAAAAAAAAAAAAATGTAAAGATTTGGCCAGAATTTGAATTTGTCATTCTCATTCCATCTTCTGTGCTAATAATCATTACATGTCATGAAATAAAGAAAATGCCAACTCCATATTAATAAAAGCCATTGTGTAGAATTTAAAATTATCTGTTTAAATTTCTAATTACATTTTTAACACCTAAGACACCAAATTTTCTTATTTTTAAATTGTTTTTGAGCATTTGTGCTTAGGATGAGAAAGAGACTTGAAATTTCTGACTCATATAATGAAAAAAGTGAGCTTAGAGAACTTAACACTCACAAGGAATATTGAAGACAAGAGCTGTAGAGGGAAATTCTGACTAACCCACCATTGACACAATAGAAAAAACAGATATAGATTGGCTAATTGATAAGTTAGATGATGTTCCATCATGTTCGTTCCATGTTCAATGGAAGACAGATTTGGCAATCATGTCAGCTACATATTTTTTCATAGGCGACACTATTCAATTTTCCCTCCGCAAACAACCTATGCTGTGATGCCAGAGGTGATGATGTGTATTGTGGGTGAATACACTTTGGAAGACATTACTTAGGCAATTGAATGAAAAATGGAAAAAATAAAAAATTCTCTGTAACACCTTTCGGCATTTAAAAGGACTTTATCAGACTTATTGATAGAATTATATTATTGGTGCCTAGACACACAGCTCGTCCAATCTCATTCACTTTCCCAATGTTTTTGTTTTTATTGTTGTTGGCTTTAAATATCCAAATATATTTGTTGTTTCTCAGGTTTTCATTACACATGCAAAGGAGCATCATTGTTTTAAAAAATTTAATTTGCTCCAAGCAAGGCAGTAAAGCCACTAAGACACAAGGAGTTACTAAGTGGGGAAGAATCAGAAAACAGAAACATTAGTGAATATTAAACAGAAAGACAGTAGACAGCAATTGACATTAAATTAAAATTTTTGAAGATCAAACTTGACTGGAAATCATGGAGCCAGAAGAGAGTTCCACAAACAAGAAGTGCTAGAAAAAAAAGCTGTTAGCATAGAACTTCGAGTTTAACCATTTCAGCTGTGAATTGATGAGATGTCAATCTAGTACTGTCCTTATATTTTTTTTATTTTACCTCAATCGGTATCACCCCATGTAAGGGAGTAAAGCCACTAAGATGCAACGGGTTACAGGGTGTGGAAGAATTAAGAACAGAATCATTAATAAAGAGCGGGAAGGGAAAAGAGTAATCAGGAGAACTGTAGATAATGATTGACATTGCATTTAAATGTTTTCAGATTAAAATTGACTGGAAAGCATGAAGTCAGAAGGGAGTTCTACAAATGAGAAGTGTGGGGAAAGAAACTGTTAGCATAGAATTTACAGTTACATCTATCCAGCTCAAATGTAAATTGATGAGATCTCGACGTCAGTCTGGTATGGCATGTAAATTCATAAAGTCCAAGCGCCATAGTAGAAAGTTTATCCAAACAATTATCATGAAAGTATTTATAGAAAAGGCACAGGAAAGCAAGTTTATGGTGGTGGGAAAGTGATTAAAACTGAGATGCCAGATCAGGACCAATAATATTGCTGATTCTTCTGTGGATTTTATCAAGGATCTCTAAATATATAGCAGGAGCACCAGACTATATTTAGCAGCAATATTCTAAGCATGGGTGAATGGTAGATTTATAGATATGTATGGTAGATTCTGGAGAATTCACTTTAAACATTATTTTAGTGGATACCCATATCTGAGTAGACGTTCTGTTTTTTTTCTTAAACAGTGTATTTATTTATTTTCATCTAGCAGCCTTAAATTAAAGGATCTGCATCCCCCTTTGCAGGAGAAACTGTTGTTAAATCCAATGTACTCTAGATCCACTCAGCCATGGAATAGTTTACCAATCAAGCAAGGCCAGATGGTACCATATAAGCGCAAATCCTTCCCAGAATTCTCAAAAGTTCCTAACTGCTCAGTTTCATATCCAAACGAAAACAAAGCAATTTCTAAAGAAGTAATGCATTTTTCATTTATTAATCCAACAGATTTTATCACTTTTAACATTATATATATATATATACATATATTTATATATAGTGGACTCTCCCATCGTATTCGAGGTATGAGGATGAAGCAACTCAGTTCCTAGTAACCAACAGCCAGACACCAGCACATGAGATTTGATCAGAGTGGTGAAGGTTTTGTGCAGAACCATCCACACTTTTTGAAGGGCCAAATACAGAGACCTGGTGCACTACGTGCCACAAGGTCCCCAAACAATCCTTTGAAGGTTTTGAAATCAGAGTTGTCCTTCTGCTAGACCAGTTGCCATCCAAGGCTATAGAACCTGGTCTGTCCTGCTATTTACCTATGGCTGGGGAGAGAAGAAAAAGATTCATACCCTTTCCCAAGGGTATTAGCATGTAAGTGAATGTAATGGATTCGACTGAAATTCAAACTCAGCTCTCTAATTCCTCAATCCAAGCCACTATGCACTACTCCACTGTGCCTTATATATATATATATATATATATATATATATATATATATATATATATATATATAGTAGTTAGGTAAAAAAAAAAATCTGTTGGTATATAATCCAAGTGGATCTTAGTAATATAAAAATATTACAACTGAACCACAAAAAAAGCTCAATGTATTTTATTTATACAGAGCAATATAATTAATAGTCAAACAAATTGTTTTACCTCATATGGGGAGTAGTCTATTTTGGCAGATGATGAAAGTGGTTGTCTGTTTTTCAACTCCGGTGTGGAATGAAGTTCATGTCTGTAAGGTTAGAGGAAGTAGGAGGTAGTAGGAGTTAACTGTGAAGAATTGATATTAGAAGGGTCAACTTAAATCTTAACTTGCTGAAAATGTCT